AAACATCCAAAAAGGCCTTATCAAACATGTTTGCATCTATTCCAGCATCAGCCAGAGGTCCAGCCAGCCAACACCAACACCAACACCAACATCACCAAGCCCAGGCCAACACACACCAAAGGCCATTTCTTGGCATCAACACCCAAACACTACCCATAGCAGCACCAGCAGCAGTAGCTGCAACTGCGGCCAAAGACAATCAGGACCATTGTACACGCCAAAACATTAGTGGCGCCAGCGGCATCAACATCCGACATAGCACGCATTCCCACCGCCCCTCAACAGCATCTGTCTCGCAGGAACCATCGACCCGTCTAATTCCCAAATCACCCGCCTCAATCGCCTCCTCGGCCATATCTGCAGCCATCTCGTTGCCCTCGGAATCAATTGCCGACGTCACCAGCGTAACCGCCACTGGTGCCTTCAGTCCACCAAATCAGCCGCTTAGTTTCTTGTCAGCGTCGGTGCCACCACCCACGCGCAGATCGTCGTTTGCTTCAAGCAGTTTTCTTGGCCGCCACTTTGCCCGCCCATGGTCGTACTTGTCGCTGGCAGCCAGAAAAATGACTGTGCCGGTTTTGGCCTTAGACACGGACTTGGATTCTGCGAATATGCGCTGGCAAAGCCCTGTTAATATTGGCAAATCAGTCCAGCCCGAATTGTTGCAGCCCAGTGTGAGCATTAGCAGCAACAGCAGTAGCAGAATGAGCATTTACTCATCTTCTTCCCAACCCATCGAGTGCCATCATGTTTGTGCCAGTGCATCGCAACACGTGCTTTTTGACCAATTTAGTTCCGGTGAGATTCCGCTTCCGCATAACACAATCAGAATCAACAATACAGCGGATGCCGCTGGCGAGGGGGGCTTTGCTGCGCACAATGCCCAAAATGGTGATATTCAGACTCCAATTCCCCAACAGCCTCATCCTCATGAGCAGCAACTCAGCATCCGTATTTGTGAGCAGCGGACGGTTACAAAATATTCAGCAACCCTGCCTGCAGATTCTATCCCCCCTGCAGCAACCTCAGCAGCACCAGCAACAGCTGCTGCTAGGATATTGCCGGCAGATACGGCGCATCAGGATACTAATGACCATGGGTACAATGGCAGAGACGGCGGCGTCAGCCATACTTTGCTCACCGGTTTGTTTTTTCTTGCCTGCCGCTCTATGCCTACTGATGCAGCCGCGCATAACAACAATTTTTTGATGCCTTCCAATATGGATCTGCAGGTAGAGAATGCATTTGACACTTTAGCCAGGTCTCCAGACGTGTGGGATCAGCAATTGGATGTTTTCTCGCCGCTCTCTGCTTTCTCTCCTGTCATGGCCTCAAATATGGATCTTGCAGCGGATCGCTCAAGGCAGCAGCTAGGACAGCAGCAGTACTGGTCGGCGTCTGTGGAAAGCAGGTACAGCGGGTTTGCTGGTCACTCTTTAAACAATTACTCTGGGAACAACTATTGTTATAACTATGCCAATATTTTCAGCAATGGTAATAGCGATGACGATGGTGATGGCGATGGCTACGATTCCAGCGACGAGGGCAATGCTAGTGAACCCGTAGACGTAGTGGATAGCAATAACAGCCATGAGGAGAGCGATGATGACTGTGACAGTGAGGAAGAAAAAACACAGGCTGAAGTAAAGCTGCGCTTGGAACTGTGCCAGGAAATGCCCTTCTGGAACTGCATTCTGACACGCGACACAAACGAGTTTTTGTATACAAGCGTGCTTTTTAATGCTGTTCCCCCAGTCACTGCGCCCGAGCAGCCAAATAATTACTTTATTGATCCCAGATTGCCACGCCTGGCGACGCCCGAGATCGTCAACTCAATTATTGAGTACCTCAACTTGATTTACCACAGAGGCTCATGCAACGTGTTTGTCTCTTTAAAGCTGCGGCTGCCAAACATTGGTGACTTTATATGGAGGATTTTTGACGACACTGGCGTCGACATGTGGACGGCCCTGACCTGCATTATTCTTCTGCGCCGGTACTACAAAATCCACAATCGCGCGATTGATGCGCCGCACCACGCCACGCACGAACTATTTATTGGCATATTTATGCTGGCAACTGAATCCTGCGAGTTAACCACCGACCCGTCACGGTTTTCCTACGAGAGTCTGGTCAGAATAACTAGCCCACATTACCAAAAGTGCGAGCTCGTGCGGATCCGCACCAAAGTGGTCCAAAACCTGCAGTACCAGATTTGGATTAACGCGCAGCACATCATTGACCATGTGGAAAACAACCTCTTTGACATATACCGGCTCTACCACTCACATGAGTACTACAAGAAACGACAGGAGCAGCGGCAGCAGCTCAAGGATCAAGAAGAGGAGGTGAGAGAATTACGCGAGCAAGAGATGAATGCATATAAGATATATATGTCGCGGGCACCACATGATTCCAGTGGAAGTTGGAATTTAAATACGGTTAATTGTACGGAACAGAGGTTTTATTTTAGGCATTTACCTTGGCCGCGCGGAATGGTTATGCCTATTGATATCACGGCGAGATCGGAGAAAGCCAGGCTGTATAATTATCCAAGTTGGAACCCGCCTGAGTTCAGTCCGCTGCTTCCTCGGGCTAAAACACGAGGTGTTGGTGAATCAAAAGGGTAATAATAAAAAACAAATAGTTATTTTACATTAGTGGTGTTATAAACTTTTTTAGGGCTGATTTACAGGGCTTTTTTAATTGTTATTTTAAACTATCATTTTTTTCATCAGATATGTGGATTGTTTATTTTAGAAAAATATATATTATCTAAAGATATATCTTTTGATGTATCTTTTAAAATAATAAATATAAAACTTATTTGTAAAGTATAAAAGGCTTTTGCATTTGCACTTAAAAAACCTATTTTAATATTATCTGCACACACATTGAATTACAATTCATTACATATTTACAAAACCCATTACATCGAAAAATGACCACCTTCACTACTCTTTTTGGATCTGCTGTTGTTGCCGTGCTGGCCGCTATCTCGCTGGCCGCGGCCAATGCCAACCCTCTTCCGCATGCATCGGCGCCTAACAATTCTAATGATGCGCTTGTTAAGCGCAGCGCTTGTGGCGGTGGATGTGGTGGATGTGGCGGAATTGGTGGCTGGGGCGGCTGGGGTGGTGTTGGTCCTGGCGTCGGCGTTGGCATCGGCGTTGGCATTGGTGGCTGGGGCGGTGTTGGTGGATGCGGTGGTTGCGGTGGCTGGGGCGGGTGCGGCGGGTGCGGCACTGGTTTCTGGCGCTAAATGCTCCAAAGCCGCGCTGTTTTTTTTGAATAATCAACACGGCTTGCAAAGAAAATACAAACGCTGCAGCAAATAATTATTGTCGATGAGCGAGAGCACAAAAAACGCTCAAATATTTTTAGTGCCAAATATCAGTGTTTTCTCAGTTTTTTTATAAAAAATGCTTTGGCAATTTTTGAAGGCAAATAAAATATATATTAAACAGAGCGATACCATTTCTAGAAAATAACGTTTTTACACTACAAAACAACCAACGGATTCAAGATACCCCCGGCTATTATTTGCTTAATTTTAAACATGTAGCTCACAGCCGTATTTTTGTATGTGCAGTATGTTTTCTTTACTTGCCAGCCAAAATATTCATAATCAAAAACTATAACCAAAACAAGACATTCCTATCCCCAAAAAATGTATTAGCAATGATATGTACTGACTGGATATTCCTAATTTCAGAGAAATCACCGAAAATAGCTCAGCGGTAGAGCGGGAGACTGTAGTTGCGTTACAAGCCTAGCTTGTATTAAGTTGTTATCTCTAGGTCCCTGGTTCAAATCCGGGTTTTCGGACTTTTTGTGGTATTCTTTTTTGCTGATGATTTGGGGGCAGCGTTGTGATTATGACGCTCGCGCTGCTTCTACATTTTTATTTGGTATAAAAATCTTGATTGTGCTGAGCGCCTTTATTTTTTTACAAGCATTTGACAATTAGCTATGGCTGTGCTTTGAATACAGCCAAACCGCTTTCATTTTGCGATTTGTTCAAATGAAAAAGGGTCTCTTGATCTTTTCATAACACACAAGTGTTCACCGCTTTTTGTATTTGATAGTGCTAATACTGCACAGTCACAGAAGCTTTTGACAAAATTTCAACACGCAGCGAGTTGCTGTGGTGCTTTGCGTAGTTGACATTACACATGAAAATTTATTTGTGTGAGCTGTGCAGCAGCAAAAAAACCAAACATAAAATTTAAAGTTACCGAACCTGCTTGCTCGAGATTGACCAGATGCAGAGTAAAAAAGAAAGAGCGCCAAAAAACAAAAAGCCTTGCCGCTTTAGAAATAGTGGCAAAAAGTATGTTCCGCAACGGGGAATTGAACCCCGGCCACGACGGTGAGAGCGTCGGATCCTAGCCACTAGACCATTGCGGATTAATCGAATTTGTCAAGGTTAATTTTGACTTGCTAAACTGATTCTATTTAAAAACATAATAAAGTGTGGCTTAGACTTTTAAATACTTACTTTTTTACGAAAGTTTTAGAAATATTTATATTAAAAAATATGTAGACATATCATTATATGTATTGCAATTAAATGCATAGATGTAAATGTCTTTTCAAATTTTTATTGTGGTTTTAGTTACTTTTTTGCATGGGCAGAGGTGTATTGCCTTAGTTTGTCTCCACTTCCAAATATTAAATTGAGCAAAATATGTTAATCGCTAAAGCTAGTTTTGGCTTAACCACTCCCGTCATTGGCGCAAATTTATAAAACACTCTAAAGTCAACTACAGGATTTTTTAACAAACGTAGCAACATTCTTTTATACTTCTTTGCTAATGTCAGCAAGTTATCACTGCCATTTGGCACATTGCCAAGCAAAACTTCTAAATAACTCTAAAAAATAAAAATTTATTATAAAGTTTATCGCCCAGATTATTTTTTTGCACAAGGCAATAGTTATAACATGTGATGATCATGCCTGGATTACCAATGTGTTCAAATTCAAAACCAATTAAATATGGAGTTGCACAGAAAGTTTTTATTTGACACTAACAAATTAAAATAATATTGCAAGGATAGCCAAGTGCGTCAAGCTAATCTGCTGTTATTAAACGGATATTAAAGTTATCAACATCAGATATTTCTGCCACTCGATCAAATAAGTTTTTTGAGTGCATTAGCAACGGCATTAGTGGCGGCCAGTGCAGCCTTTTGCGCCTGAATGGCTTTTATGTGGGCATTTCTGGCAGCAGTAATGGCTGAGCCTGAAGAAGAGCTAAGATTTGAGTACGCTTTGTTGGTCTTGGAAATGGCAACCTTGAGACTACTGGCCGCACTGTTATCGTAGCTAATGGCTTGCCTGATGGCAGCAATGTTGTATTTAATGCTGGCGCGGACATTCAACTGGTGCGAAGGGTTTGCTTCGGGCATAGCAGCAGGGGCAGCAATAGCTGAGGCGGCAACGGCAAGAATAGCGGCAACAAACGAAAACTTCATTTTTGTGTTTAATTATTGACAAGATGCGATTGAAAACAACTGAGGAATAGTTTATTGGCCCAAAATAGGTAAATATACTTTTGAACGATGAAGTTGGAAAATATATTATAGAGAAATAAGTATGTTTATATATATTAAAAAAACACTTGTTGCAATAAGTTAATATTAGCTTTTAGTGAGTCACTTACATGGTTTTTTTTGCGCAAAAATGTAAACAAACAAAACAACCTTTATTGTGGAAATCAATAATATCGTATGTGCATGTGCATACGCATGTGCATGACCAACTCTTTTTGAATGTGTTTGAATTGCTGAAAATAAAACAGAAATCAGGCATTTTTGTTGATACTGTTGCACTGACAAATCAAGTTAAAGTAGCTGAATAATATAAATTAAACAATCACGGCAAATCTAGAAATATTGTTAAATATTGAATCTAATTATTGATACCCGCAAACACGTTGTACGCGTCATTTACAACCCTTTCAGCCTTGTCCAAACTTTGAAGTGCTGTATTGCGGGTGCTCTATATGATGTTGGCGGCGTCTCCCTCAAAAAATGATGCGTGCGATGCGGCCTCGTTAATTTTATCTTTGGCCTGGCGTATGTGTTTAATCGCCGTCTTTTCCAAATTCATGACATCCTGTATTTAAACTGGGCACACTTTTACGTTGGTTACACAAGCCAAAAGTATGGTAGAACTTGTAATATAAAATGCTTTGCCATTGATTCTATTCTATGTTAAGAAGTATACAATTAATGGCGTGTTTTAAAATAAAAAGAGGATGCATAGACGGTCTTTATTAAAGATAAACCCTGCCTTGGGCTTTGTGTTCTTATAACTGCTGGCATAAATGTATAGGTTTAGGTGATACTATTTTCCATTTGCTATGTTGGTTTTTTCTTAACACCACTACTTTTAAATGTTATTGCTTGCGTAGTCATGTGAATAAATGAGACGCCTATTTATAATGAAAAATGTATTTTGAATTTTGAATCGTTAATTTTGAGGCTGCAAAATTTGTTATCAAGTGAGCTTGCTTTTTAAATTGCAAACACTTTGTTTTGCACTGGTGGTGTTGAGCAGACTGATGATATGGAAGTGGGTGACAAGGTTGAGAGTTGTGAAACGAGTTTCCACCAATATTCCGATTGACAGGGCATAGAAGGTACCATGTAGGGTCAAATCAGAGGACATAATATTAGCACCCTGATATGCCATCACCATTTGATAATGTATATGCATGTATGCGCACATATACGAATACCACAACATTGACTTGCCAAGATACGGGTTTGCTCGCAGAAGAACCAGTTCTCGCCAACGGAGTGCACAACTGGCGAAGTGCACAACAGAAGCAACGAGATACATATTATAAAAGACGAGACCAGCTCTAGTTCTACTTTTGATTCCCTTGATAATAAAAACTATAACAAAACCCAAACATACTTTTAAGACTAGACAACTTGTGCTCCCCTCAAATCACAACAATGAAAATAATAATAAAAATTATACGAATGTTGTGGTAGTAAGCTCGCCAAAGTAAAAGCTCAGGCGTGGCTAGTACAGCAAAACTATGTCATTACGACATTAATATATCAAAATAGCAATGCATATAGAATCAAGCAGCTGGTATTTTGTAATGTATTTTTGTTAAACCAAACTCTTACATCTTTTTATTGCCAGTATTTACAAATTTAGCATACTTGGCTAAAAAACAATGGTGATATTGATATGCATTTCAATTCAATTTGTTTTGCTGGTACTTTGCACAAAATGCAGCTACTTATCGCGGCAACATCATTCTGTTTTCAAACGCATATGCGTAATTTAAATGTCGATAAGTGTTTAAACAATAAAATGTGCATAAATAAATTGGAGACAATATCTAGCAAACGGTCTACATGGAATACACGTTCCGGTCTATTTATCATTGGCGTGCAAGTGAATATTTCCCCAAAATTTAGTGCGTATTCGGATAATGGTATGTCGTTTCGTCGTGATTAACGTTGCTTTTGTATTTATTTTTATTTTTCTGCCACCCTTACCAATTGCATACCAGTCACAGCCACATTTTATTGAAAATTTCAAGAAACAAAAGCTTATAACTTTGGTTTTATATATTAAAGCGCAAAATGTAGGCCGCTACATGTCTGCAATATACACGCACCTGCATAATGCAGCATAGTTTTGCATTCCCCCCACATCTTGCTGTCACACGCGAAAACCGTACTGATTTGTGTTCATTTTATCCATGCATTCAAAAAAATAAAGACAAACTTTTAATCAACACTGTGCATACTGGTCACTTGAGCTTTGTTTAATTTACCTCAAAACATAGACATGCACATAACAAACAGCCAAAAAACGGCCAAAGCCTGCACGCTTGTTTGCCATGCGTCTGCAGCTTTGTCTGCTTGACATGAACGCCCGGATTTTATATTTTCAATTTTTACTTTGTTGATCGGTAGTTTGTACATTTACTCCAACTTTCATTGGGGTGCATGCAATCTCACGAGGACAGTACTCTTTGTCCCCTCTTTGTCTTTTTCTTTTGCATGAAATAAGCATGACTAATGTGCATTTGCTCCCAATTCGACTAGAATAAAAAAGTACATTCACATCTTTTTTGCACCTTTATTTTAAAACCATCCCGATAAGGACATGTCTTCCATTGAGGCAATTCAACTATGTCGCTGCTGATGGAGTATCAATTTATGCACAAAACAACCACAAAGGTGACATTCCCGATTTGCTTGTTTTTAAGTTGGTGCGCCGCGGTCTTTTAGACAAGGAGCTGCTTTTGTCGCCCTGATCATCCGTTGCTGTCAGGCAGAGAAACATGCGCAGTTTTGCGTTTATCGTGCGCCGAGCCTTACAGGCTTTGGTTACATATTTTGTCAGTATAGCAACCTTGCTCTATATCTTCCCAATAAAATGTGCGCTATCAGAGAACGCCAAATGCTGTTAATCAATTCTCATAAATAACGACATTATCTCCAACCGTTTTTTGCTTGGCCTTGCCAAACAAGAACTGTCAAAAGAAAACCCACCTACTCTTTACACAGTTATTTAGTCTAAATTTTCTACCTATTTTTAATCAACAGTCGAATTTTATATTTTCACTTGCTACACATTTATATTCAAATATTTTACATATTAGTATCCCGTCAATGGAGTTTCTTGCCGTCCATCGGTTTGCCAACACCGTCCAAACGGCCCACCCGTTTTCCAGGCAAGAAAATGTTACGGCGCCCGACATTACCACGGCTACTGCTGAAGACCTCCATGGCGTGCTCGGGCAATGGGCAGTAGTGTGCAACGGCATAAACATCAGCTCAATGGTATGCTCTATCATAGTCATACTGAGTACCATCATAGTAGCGTTTGTAAACCGCAGTCTCCTCAACCGGCCCTCATTGCGAATTTCCACTTGCATAGCCCTGTGCGACCTATCATTCTCCATATGCCAAGTCTTTGTATTTAACAATGACTACATGAGCGGGCTATCTGAAACGCACCTAAGGGCAATTGTATGGATCATGGCCGGGTCCAATGTTTCCTTTGTGTTTCTCTCGAGCTGCATGGGAATTCAGCTGCTTTTGACAGTGCTCACAAACAAAAACCACTGGGCCGAGGCCATTCGGCCATACTATGAGGTCACAAGCATTTTCTGCGGGTTTTTAATTACTCACCCGTACATGTACGTGTTCAAGAATATCAAATGGATTCCTGTGGCCCAACTCTTCTATTTCAGAGAAGAGGAGTCAGTGGGCAAGCGCAACATTTGGTTAGTTCAGTGGATGTGGATTTTTGGCGGAGTTGCTTTCCTTTTTGTCATTGCACTTTTGACGTATATTAAGATGTCACGCGCTTGGAAGGCCACCGAGTCGTCTATAAACAGGTACCGTACGCCGGAGAAGCTCGATCTGCTGGACTTGGATTCAGACTCGGACACCATGCAGCAAATTTCGGACGAAAGGAAGAGGTACATTCGGTCGGTTACGCTTCGCGTGACTTGCTATCCGATCATTCCAATTATTACACTGTCCTTTACGCTTTTATGCAATCTCTTGTCAGCTACGCCGTTCTGGCTCTACGTCATGAGCAATTTGATGCCGTCGACACAAGGTATGCTCAACTTTTTGGTCTACACAATGAACCCGTCATTGGACGTGTACAGGAAAAGGCTGGTAGAGCGGACACGCGGCGCCAAGCGGAGAACTAGGGCAAGGTTTGGCAAGCTGGAGGAGGCCGAGTCAATGTCTGACTTCCCAATTACCTTTTCAGAGCCAAGCAGCGTCTACAGCGACAGAGATAATTTCAAGTATACATCCTAATCCAACAAACATCTTTTACTTATCTTAATTGCACTTAACTTGTACCAATAATTAGCACCTGAAAACAAATATTTCAACACAATTGGAAAGTAAATTATTTTATTATTTGTTTGCTAGTTTTTGTAAATTTGTTTTTGAAAGTGAGAGAAAATAATATTTGCGATACATTATACTAAAAAAATTATGAAAATTATGAAAAATAAGGAAAATATATATATTTTAATGCCATTGCATCTGGTTGCCGAACCCCACAGCCTGGTTTGCGTTAAACATATTTTGCTGTTGCTGAGGTTGCTGCTGTTGCAAAAAATTATATCCTGTTTTAAAATGCATTGTGGCTCATATCTACTGCATTTTCAGCTCATATAATCGCGTAGTATGCTTTCCCCGAAGATTCGCTGATTACTTCGGCAGTGTGTCCTTGGTAGAAGCTGGCGTCTACGCTGAGTTTCTTTATGTACCCCAATGCCTTGCAAATGGTCCTTATGGTTTTGTCATGTTTTGTCTCGGCAAGTTCAGGGTCCATAGCACATACCAACAAGAAAGCAATGCTAACCAAGGGTATAATTACAGTGGGCTTTATTCTTATTGTGAATATGAAACAGCAAGTTTACTCTAGTTGAATTTTTATAAAGAGAGGGTGTAATATTTTGTCTCAATATCAATAAGCTGGTTTTTTATATTATCTGGTGATAACATTAACAATGCCAATCTCGCTTTGCCATTTTAAAGAAAAACACATTTTTTGACAATTTTTAGTGTCTGCAAGCGTAACGGGGCTGGGTGCATGGTAAGAATAAT